TATGGAAGTGAGAGCTAGAGCATAGAGAAAGCAGACTGCCGAAGAATTGATGCCTTTGAATTTTGGTGCTGGAGAAGGCTCTTGAGAGTCCCCTGGACTACAAAGAGAACAAACCTATCAATTCTAAAGGAAATCAACCCTGAGTGCTCACTGGAAGGACAGATCCTGAAACTGAGGCTCCAGTACTTTGGCCATCTCATGAGAAGAGAAGACTCCTTGGAAAAGATCTTGATGTTAGGAAAGTGTGACGGCAAGAGGAGAAGGGGACGACACAGGATGAGATGGCTGTACAGTGTCTGCGAAGCAACCAACATGAAATTGACACAACTACGGGAGGCAGTGGAAGATAGGAGGGCCTGGTGTGCTCTGGTCCATGGGGTCACGAAGAGTCGGACACGACTAAACGACAACGACGAGCAATTTATGGTATGAACTGTTCTTGTTTTGGAGTAAGTAGTCATATTGTAAAAGTATAAGCCGCTAGCATGAGCCCAAACAGTTCTTTAATCTCAACCATTGTGTTTCCTGTCCTGTCCCTTTAATTGTTTTTTGACAGTGATCTCTTTCTTACATTTGGTGTTCCTTCTTTTTCAGGCTTTAAAGGAAATAGATGATGTTGGAGACCTATTGCTGTTGAAGTATTCCCGCCATAGATTGGTACCTCTCCTGGATCGGCCTTTTGATGAGACTACATATGAAGAGACTGAAGACTGAATTCTGAATTCTTTCCATGCCTTTTTGCAGGGAGGGCATACTCCCCAAGAACTCTGTGTGTTTCAGAGGCCAAGGATTTTGAACCAGACACTTAACAACTGCTTAGCATAAAGACAATGACTTTCTACTCACAAGACTGAAGTGGCCACAGCAGCTCTAAATTGTGTGTTATAAATGGCAAACCAAAAACTGGCTTCTATTCCTGTTGTTTTAAGGTCTTGCCTTAGGGAGGAGCTTGGCTTACATTTTTTAAATAATGCTTCCTTATTTATTTTGTTACAGGGACATCACAATGACCATTACAGCCAGTGGGCATATTACCCATCACATTGCCAACTGGGCATTGCTGAAGTGTCTTGTTGCAATGCTTCTGTCCTAGCATTTCCTTTTTAGTTATCAGAATCTGACCTTGAAAGTGCAAGACAAGCCAGTTTGTTCAGTCAAGGCTTCTGAGGAATTGTTGACAGCTAGCTTAAATATATTTAACAAGAAATAATCGACCAAAGTATTTTCTCCCTTTTACTTTATGCATCTTTAATCTTTTTATTATTAAAATAGTGGCTTACTTGCCACTTAAGGAGCTTTCAGTTCATAAAGGCACAAGACAGGAAATCCTTAGCCATCTTGGTTTTTTTCACTCTGGGTATCAGGAGTTGTTTTATTAGGATAAGTGGCAAAGAACGTTTCAGTGCAGGGTAGACGGTTGTTTCTTTCTATTTATGTAGAATTACTGCAGTTCTAAGATGTAGCCACACTTCCATTTTTCAGATTGAGTTTTGTTGTATCATGAGTGTCTTATCTCCTGTGGCTTTAGTTCTTGGGCAGGGGAGAGCACAAAATTAGAAGGATGGGTCAGAAAGAAGGGATCACATGCTAAGGCACTTTTTCGTCCAGTCTTGTAGCAATGTTCCTGGTGAAGTTAAAATCTGCCCCCACTCCAGAAAAAATGGTGCAGTTCTGCTAAACATAAGGTCTGCCTTTTCAGAGAAATTTCGTTGTACTTTCACTGCTCCTGCTGTATTGATACTAATTAAGTACATGTAGCCACAGAGAGTAAATGGCATGAGGTAAATCTCAGAAAGTAGAAACATATGGGTAGATATGTACCTGGATCATTTTGTGATGTGGCTTTGGTATCATTCTGGGAAGCAAAACCAATCAACAGGACATTCATGTATAGAACAGGGTCTTAATGATAGTTGCCATTTATTTGGAATCAGAGCAAAATTCCTTGAAACCCATCCCCCATCCTTCTTCCATTTTTACAGTTTAATTCTGTGTATATTTGACCTAAAATGTTTTAAATTAGGTTTGGAGGCAGAAAGGTGCATTTTACATTTCTAAAAAAATCAAGTAAGATATGCTAATGTAGGAATTTAAGTGGTAATTTGAAATGTTCTACAATGGCCACAATGTCTTCCAAATGACCTCAGTTTATGTTATTGTTTTTTTTGTTTTTACTTTGCTTGAAATCACATATGATTTGTTTATTCACAGAGTTGCAGTGTGGTAATTTCACATGGATGTATTATTAAGTCACAATACAATGGATTAATTTTATATGTTTTAACCACAGAATTCTTTAACATTTTGCACTTAGGATACCTCCTGACTTCTACTACCACATTAATATTTGCAAATCGTTATGCCAAGCAATGGAGATTTATGAGAAAACAGTACATATGCTGGCTTGCTTAAAAAATCTGTGCCTCAGAATTTTACCTTGTTTTTTTTTCCTTCAAGGACTTATATTGGAGTTCAGTTTTTCAACATATGGTTTGGAATTAAGAAATACTGATATTTGACTGGTTGTAATTCATAATTTTATATAACACTTTGCCAGGTCCTGATATGAAAAGGTGGGGGGGGGTTCTAAGTTTTAAATTAGCACACTTTGAACATGTTAGATATTTTAAAACTTAGTAGCAAAATATAATTTCTGTCAACTCATTCAGTCTTCTCTTATGAACCATGTGGCCTTAGTACTGAGAGTCAAATACAGTACACAGAAAGAGGAAAGTCAGAGTTATATAATCAGTTCTTTATTCTACCAAAATTATTGAAGTACGGTAACTCTCAAATGACTTGAAATATGTTAACTAAAAATTGGCTTTGTTGGATATTGTAGTCTTCACTTTCACCGGATGTTAACAGTTCATCATTTCAGGTTATGTCACCATCCCCAGCTTGTGTTAATGTCATAACACAGTGGTCCTCAGCTTTTTTGGCACTGCAGACCAGTTTAGCATGCATGCAGGGGGCGTCTGTGCGTGCGTGTATGCATGCGGGAGTATGTCTGTGCATATGGGGAGCATGCGTGTGAGGGTGTCTGTGTGTGTGTGGGAGCGTGCATGCGGGGGGAATCTGTGCATGCGGAGGAGCAGGAGATCAGTCTCTGCAGCCCAGTCGTGCCACGCCCTGGTACCAGGCTGTGAAATAGGCGTTGGGGACCCCTGTAATAACATAGCACTGCATATCTTAACAATTTCTAGGTTTGTTCTGCCCAAAGGTAGGGAATGACGCTGCGTTCTGTATCACCAGGCTACTTTAGAGCAGGATTATGTATGATAAATTAAGCTATCTGGAGAAATGTTGGTTGGCTGTAGAAAATTTGTGAAGTCTAGAAATAAAATGTCCAGACACATTATTTCCAGCAAGCATTTTAAATGTAGTGCTGCCATTATTGTATCTAGAGCAGGAATAGGACCAAATATAAGAACTGTTGTTTTCAAAATTATTATTCAGCTAAGAAATTGACTCCACTTACTTAATCTCCAACAAGGCAAGACTACTGATTCATTGGGTGGAAATGTTCCATCAGAAAATAATAAAGTGACGTTTCTTTCCTTGTAAATATAAAGGTTCTCACACATACAAACAAAAGTAATCTATAGGATAGTACAAAGTGACTTCAGGGAGAAAGTTTGTGTAAAATGACAAACGAATGCAGGGTATTCTTGAGCAAGTTTTAGTGATCATTTCAAAAATAATTGAAGGGAAAATAGGACTACTGTACCCGACTGGATGAATTTTTAAGGTAACAGGTCTTAAGGCAACCTTAAAAGGCAATCTTTCAATAAAGCTTTTCAGAATTGGGGGAAGATAATGATAAGCATGGTCTGATACTCCTCAAGGATACTTTGACTATGTTTTAAATGAAAGTTAGGGGAGAAGACTACAGAGGAGCAATGTCTTTCAGTGCAGTCTCAACTAGAGCTGGGAGTATTTGTATTTGTACATGAGCATTCCCACACAGGTGGAAATAATAATAAGCGTCTGACCCCATGGGGCCGGACTGTCCACTCATGATTTTGCCGCTGCCACCAGCTCTGCAGAGGCTTCCTATCACACCGTTCTCCACAATGGATTAGCCACTCTGCTACCTAGCAGAGAGGCTTGTCATCCCACCTCCTGCCAGGAGTGGGTAATATATTGCAGACAATGGTGCGATAGGAAGGCTCCATTAGTTTGCGTCAGCGGCTCAGTGTGGGGATATTCGTATATGAATATGAATACCCCCATCTCTAGTCTCAAGTATTGTTTTTCTTTGTGTCCTTGTTGGAAGTGGATGTGGCATAAGTATATCAGTAAATGCAGTATCTGAATTTAACAGCAGGATAAAGACATTTGACACCAACACATCTTGTCTTTCTTACACTCACTTCTCACTCAACCATTTATAATGTCACACCGGATTTCCGTGGTCCTTCGTCCATTCAGTATATACTGTGGTCTATTGTGGTTCATAAAAAAGACCAAGGTTTTGAAAGTGTTCTTATGTACACGAAGAGTCTCTGGGAAAAGCAGATAGTTTTTTTACCAGTGGTAGGGTGCTGAGCAATCTCCTTTTCCCATGTAGAGTACTGTTTTCTGTTTGTTTGTTTGTTTGTTTTTTGGGAATATTCCAAAATACACATTGCACCTGGTTTATCAGTCAGCATATTTGGATATATGACCCAGAAATAGACAGTTGGATATTTGTCTACCGTTGTAGTCCATGCTGTTTAAAAGGCCAAATTGTTTGTGTTGGTGCTTTCAGATGTCACTTTTCTGAAACCTGCCTGATTCAAGTCACCTGTGTGGTTGTATGGACTAAAATGTACTTGCTTCCTAAACTCCAACTGATTCTGAAGGAGAAACCAAATGATAATGTGTTGTCCCACTTTTTTGTTTTCCTCTTTTGTTTTCATTTTGTACATCCCCTGAGGATGACCATAAAATTCAGGCTGGAATCCACTGAGCATTTTAAATGGAAATAAAGGGAAATTTATAACATCTTGAGACTGTTTTCTCCATCAGAATCAGATTCATTAAATGTACCAGTTCCTGTTGTTCCTTCTTTTGAAGTCCATGCATGTATAGAGAGCTAGGAAAAATTGTTTTCTGTGTGCATATTTATTGGTCCTGGACCTTGATGCTTGATGTGAGGGTGCTGTTCCCACTAGGTGGAACTTAGTGAGAGGAAAGACTAAATTTTGTGGATCAGATAAATCTTCAGGCATCTTAAGCTTATACATGGCATCTTCTCATTCTCATGACCCAAATATTATTTCATAGCATCCAATGCCTTGTCACATCTTGACAGTTGTCCTTTACACTTGGCTGCTGATGATTTCCTTGAATTTACACAAATAGTGAATATTTAATATTGTCATCTGCCTTTAAAGTTGCAGTGTTGCTGCTGCCCTTTAAAACATTTGGATGCTACCTGCTGATGTGGACCTCTGTTTAGCAAACGACATGCAGGCTGCTCAGGACTAGAGTGTAATATATATGGGACCATAATTCAGATTGAGAATAGAGATGGGATATTTGTGTTTGTATACAAATAGGAATATACTGGATCCAGGTGGCTGGGAAGCCCAGTCCTGCCTTCCTGAACCAACCCATCCAATTGTGGGTCACCACGCAGCAGGTGTCCTGCTCATCGTGCCAATCTTGGATGTAGCTCAGTTGGCACTTTTCTGCTTCCCTGCACTTCTGGACACTCAGCAGCTGAGCGAGGAAACTTGTCATCCTGCCCCCTGGCTAGAGTGGCCAGAAGCACAGGGAGGCAGAGAAGCACTAGCAAGGCTACATCCAAGATGCAGGATGCCATCCACACCTTCGGTTTGATGACCCATAAGTGAACAGGTGGGTTCAGGAAGCCACCTGTCCACCTGGGTCCATATTTGTCTATGAATATCCCATTTCTAATAGAGAACTTTATTTTCCCCATTGTATTCTTGCATAAAAGACAGTTCAGGTCAATGTAGTATGTGGTATATGCCCCCTCCCCCATCAGCTTGATTCTTTACATCTTGGTATGGATTCCAGAGCATATGCAGCATACTGTGTGCATGTGTTTAATAAAATGAAAGAACATTAGTACTTGCCCTTTCAAAATATACACAGGCCGAAATCCTGTTGCTTAGTGTAGTAAATTACACTAGACTCATTCAATCATTAGGGATTTAGTGATCAACTCGTCCATTAAGCTCCATTGATTCAAAGGGGCATACCTCAGTTGTGACTTTAGCATCACAAGTTGCAACTAGAATAGGCCTATTTGAATCAATCAAACTTACAGAGAAGTTGACTTACCAAATCCCCACAGATTCAATAGGTGTATTCTAGTGGGACATATTGTGCTAAGCAAAATGATTTCAGTGACAGTTGGGTCAGGCTCTGGTAAATATGTATAGGTTCACATGTATTTTAGACATACATGCTAAAAGATGCATGCACACATTTTACATTTAATGTAGCATGTATTTTATATGGTGTATATGCCATAATACAAAATGTTAAGTGAAGATTTGCCTGATGGAACCATAAAATGGTGTGGGGAGCAGTATTGTTTCTTTAACCAGGTTTATTGCTATGTTACTGCTTGAAATGTATGAGACTACATCATAAAAGGCCTTAAATGACTTAATTTAAAACCTGTAAGCTTAGTTTATTTTCAGATGCCCTGTGCTGCTTAATATTCAATGCTGATTTGAGGTCTCTCCACATACTTGATAGGTTAGTCAAGCATTAAGTAATAAAAGATGATAGCTATTTTTCACCAAGTCTTCCTTTGTAGTTGCACATGAAGTTTTATCGTGCACATACTACCACCTCTGCTTGTTTGCAAATAAAATATTACACAATTGTGTTATCTTGGCACAGATAACCTCAGTAAGTTTGCAGTTTTCCCACAATGTAGTAAATATTCACAGTAATGGTCACCATGTAACTCAAACTAGGCAAATTATCTTGGGCTGGTTACACCAACTCAAAATGAATGTGTGAAATTGCTTTGTTTCTTAATTACATTTTAAATGCCTATTTTTGGAGTTTATGATAGCATTTCGTGAAATCTGACTCTCATTTGATGGTATGATGATTTTAGATGTGTTGCTTCAAACTCCATTTCTTTGTGAAATGAACTGAAAAAGGTGAGGTTTAGAACCATTTTTTCTTCTATATGTTGTGCTTGACATGAGCTTTTTGGTTTTTGGAAGCT